TAAAGTTGCGTGACGTCCCCACATCCGGGTATCGCGGAAAAAATTCAAACCACTTTGAATTACTTTTTCATATTACTACTTATTTACTTAAGTCATGAGCTATGCCGGGATTCAAACCTACCACCGTTAGGATGACTCATTCGACATTTTATATATGCTTTCTTAAAAATATACCAATTTTACTTTTCTTTATCATCTCAACAATTTGGGTTTAGGAGACATCATTCTATCATTAAACAGTGCCACAGGGTGGTTGACATCATCACAACTGAATGCGGCGAGGGTGGTTTTCTAGACGAATGGAAACTCGACGAATCCTTCTTCCCCATCCACTATCCCTAATCGGGTGTTCGCAAGGCATGATCCTAGGACACATTCTCAAATCAGTATACACTTCGGACATCCATATAAATCCCAGAATAGTACTTCTCACTTACGTAAACAATTCTTTATCTTTTCAGCAAACTAAAACCGTTCTAAAAGTCTTTAGGACCATCTAACCCGTTTGGCAGAAAGAGTCAAGAAATTCCCAGAAAATACCATAAGTTCGCCCCCAATTTACTTTAACTTTGTCTCTCTTCAACTTACTTTGCAGGACTTTCTTACAACACCGACACCGTCCATAACCGAGGACAATTTAAAATCAGATCAAACTTTTACTATAAAACGCCTCATTGTCACTAGTACAATCATTTGTATGTACTTCTAAAAAATACAGAGGCTCCAGTCCAAAATCCTTAGAACATTCCTAGAACATCCTTGGAATTAGTTCAATCTACCTACATTGTACCCAGCTTTACAAACCACACTGACCTCCTAATCCCATAAATCCTACGAAGTGTTGTTGTTTTTGTATTTACATTTTATCCAATATAAACACTCCATGAACTTATTACAGACAAAAAATTCTTAATTTACAAATAAAATTTTGTCATAGAAAAGACCTAGTTACTTACGATGAAAATTAAAAACTGTCCTTATTTTTTGTTTCAGGACCTACAATAACGGCAGCTGGACGTCTTCTTCTGGATTCCGAAAATTTCGTTTTTAAAAATCACCTAGGTATCAACAAAAGTTTTAAAAATTTTTTTTTTATTCTGTTTTATTACAATCAGTTTCAATTTCTTTTTCAGATGGACGTGAAACGCAAAGGAGTCTGCCGAGACGTGAACGGGCGAGAAGACACGAAGACATCGGTCCAGGGGTTAATGCTCTACATCTACCCTGTAGATCCGAATTTGTTTGATGCAAAGCGACAAATTCGGTTCTAGAGAGGTTTGTGTGGGGCATATACGTTTCCTGCAATGAAAAACAAGAAAACTACTAATCGTTATTTATATAATTGCATTGTCATTAGAAATACTTAAAATGTCATCTTATTATATGTATTTAAAATATTGTTTACTTTATACTTGCCGGATTGTTAATGCTGGAAATAAGTTGTAAAAGGTTTTTTCACTAGTCAATTAAGAAGATAAATGACCGTTAGGTGCATAAATTTGTTTTAAATCTTTGTATCTTTGCACATGAGTGAAGGTCAATTTTGCCTGAATTTCACATTGTATTACCTCAACGCATTATGTAAAATGGAGAAACTATAAAATATTTTCAACAAGAAGTAAAATGATTAAAATGAAATTAAGGAATTGAGTTTATGCAGTTTTTTAAATCATTATTGTGTTTTAATTATAATTATAAATAACATGTTAGTTTATAATATGTACTTTTTTACGAAGGAATTTTTCACTGAATTATCTTACAATCAAATTAAAATTTTGAAGATTCCTGCAGAAACTTTGCACATATTCTAATGTTACATATTTTCTTTTGATATTTAGAAAAAAAAACCTGGCCTTTTAAATATCATTTCTTATATAATTTTTGGATAATGTTCAACCCTTCGGCAAAATAATTAATTTTTTACATCAAAACATAATTTCATCGCTGACTGTACAATGGCCGAAAAAATTAGCATATAGCGTAGTTATTAAATTTAAAAAAATTCTGATAAAATACTATTCCCATATGAAAAAACTTACTATTTACAACTTGAGGTGGACAACTTCACATTTAACTTCATGCTCTGAGGTCTAAACATTTTAATTTTCTGACTTCAAATAGTAAAAATTATGGTACACATGTAACATCTTGTCATATTAATAAAACATGGGGGGGAAGTTCGCCTGGAACGTCAAATTTTAAACTCAAAGTGTAAAAACGGTCACTCTTTACTGTGTAAAAAGCACCATTTTATGTCGGAAATTAATTGTTTGTTTCATAAGTTGTAAGAAATAGTACCATCAATAATAAAAACTTAATCAGGTTGGAAAAAATAAGTTATTATATGTCGTTTTTTGGAAGGAAAAATTATAATCTAAAGAAGTAAAAATTGCAGTTTAAAATGAACGCCCTGTTTCTCAGTAAAAATACATAATTCACTTTTTATTATTCGCCAGAGAGTATGTCTTATAAACTGTAAGAAAGGGCGTTAATGCCTTGTATGTTGGTAAAAAAATATGCTATTCTATGTTGTAAATTATTAGTTTGACTTGTAAATTGTATGCAAGGGCAAATCTAAAGATGTAAAAATTGTAATACATTCACCTTTGTTATGTTAGTAAAAGACCACCATTCCATATTGTTTTTATTGTATTACATAAGGGCAAATTAATGTCTGATGACATTAATCCAATGTCTTTGGACTTGTTACATTTAAAAACGGTAGTTTCTGTAGTTCAATAGCATAAATACAGTTTGTAATAGTGCATATAATTTGAAAAAGTACAATATATTCATTTAACATAACTTAAAATTAACAAAAACACATAAAGTGTTTTCTACACGGGCATATGTTGAACTTACAGTTGAAATTGTGTAGGATACATTTCTCCCCATGTTATATTGATAATTTAGCGAATTATTCTACGTGAAAATTAATTGCTTGCCTAATAAGTTGTGTGCAAGAACGTAGTTCATTTGAAATTCTTAAATTGTAAAACAGTAGTTTCCATAGATTACTGGCATATTATATTGCAATCCTTTTGAAATAGTAAATGTATTATTTTAACATTGTTTCCTATATTTAATTAAACAAAGATTTTATTTAACTCATTATGTGCTTTACAAGAACATATAAAAAGTGTTGTATTCAAGGAGAGGTTTTGAACTTGAAGTTGCAAAGATTGTAGCATACATTCAATATGTTGTTATGTGAACGAAAAGTACATAATTCTACGTGGAAATTAAATGTTTGTCTTTTACGACGTCTGAAAGAGCTAATTTTGAATTTAGAATTGAACAAATTATAGCATACATTCAAGCCCTCGTTATGTTAATAAAAAGTACACATTTCACGTGGAAATTAATTGTCTTATACGTTGTCAGAATGGACTAATTAAACTTAAGTGCAACTCTTGCAGGGTACTTACAATCCCTTGCTCTGAGAAGTTGTCTAAAAGGACAAATTTCGGATTCGAATTTGTAAAAATCATACAATTAATACACTGTTATGTTAACTAAAGGAATACACCTCTCCTCTTTCTGAAATTAATTGTTTTTTTGATAGGAAGTCTGAAAGAGCTATTTTTTACTTTCGAACTTACTTTTAAAACGGTAGTTTCCAGAGTTTAATGGGTTAAATACATTGTATAATATTAACAATATTGATATTAAATGATTAATATTAATGTACATTAATGTTAATAATATTTTGAAATAGTACATTCATCTAACGAAATTACTTATATAATTATTTGTATATTTTTTAACAATAATTATTTTTGTGATTGATTATCAATCAACCTCAATGTTGTAATTGTATACCAATCAGGGATAAGAGGGGTTTTATATAAAATATATAAAATTAAAAATTACTTAAAAACAACTTACAACCAAGAAAAGCACATAAAGTATATTCTATATATACATACATCATACGCATATAAACAAAAATATAAGACAATATTTGTCTGACAGTGAGGAGAACATCTTTTGCTTTGTAATTAAATTTCCCATTAAAAGTACGAAATTGTGTTTATCTGGCCTTCTTTCGTATTTAATGTTAACTAAATGAAAGTAATAATACAATTGCTTTAAGATATTCAACAGAAAAAAAAACACATTTCACCAACTGTTTTAAGAAGTAAGGAAAAAGAGAATTTTAAATCTGAAATAACATTTATCTCTATAATCGATAGATCAAGAATCAAAAATATCTGCTACGTGTGATCATCAATGATGAACTGGTACTAATTACTGACTTATAAAAGTTCAACTTCGTACAAGTATTTCAATACATCCTCACTGTTGGCTCCAAAAAGCAGAGCAGGGGAACCACATGTTCACAAGAACTTGATCAATATTTAACATGTTACAATAATATCTTATAATAAATAATGTAACGATTTACTTATTCACTCTGAGAATCAGGAAGTGTGTGTTGAAAGAAAGAAGAGAGTTAGACAACCTGAAAATGTATAAAAAGTTTATCCCGTTGGACATAAACTTTTGAAAAATTATGTTGTACGCTGTTGTTAAATTAGGCTGATATCTTATTCATTCCACGACGGAAAAAAAATCGCGCTTGAATAAATTCGTTACAACCGCCGTATATCCTTTTCTTAATTTATCTCATGGAAATTAATTTGAATCAGAACATGTATCGGTTAAGGGCTTTCAGCACGCTATCATGTGATATGCAAATTGTTAAACTTCTAGAAGCAAACATAAAAAACGTATTAATGTCAACGACCATTAAGCAAACAAATTGTAAAATAAAATTTAACACCGTACCAATCAAGTCAGGCCTTTCCAGCTTATCCTAAGTTTTCGTTATGTTTACGATAACCCTTCGTAAAAAAGGTTTTCGACCTAGAGACAACTACTAAAAAAAGTATTGACTACTTTTTCCTGTGTACTTTGCATGCTGTCTGTGTAATGTACTTTCAGTTGAGAATTGTCTTGTTTGAACAGAGGGATTTTTTCCCTTGAACGTCTGAGTTTTGTATTCTGCTTCAATAGAAAATATAAATCTTTTATTTATTTACTATGTTTTAGTAAGTTTATATAAACGATTTGTAATAAATAAATTATTGGTTTTAGTATAGCTATTCACATTAAATGATATTGAAATTTGGAAAATTTTACACTATAACCTAGATCATCTTCACTTTGAAAAATTGATATATATTTTGATTGAAGATTGAAGATACTATTCTGGCCTCACCGTTTCACAGGGATTGCCAAATATCAAACAGTATCGGTTTCTTCTACTTGTTTCCCGTTGACAGTACTTTATCATCAAGATTTGGTAGTCATACCTGATGCCTACATGGATGCAGCAAGGACCTGATTTGCCATCGAATTGAGAAAACATGGTGGTAATCTACCCAAACCGCCGTTTCAAAGATTTGCATTATTTCCACGTTTTCTTTCATTTTCAATGTACAAACCTTTCATCGCAAGATCCTTGCATAGTGACAACCATAGATATGTTGATATTACCATGTAATATATTCAAAACATAAATAATATGCTCCGATTGCCCCAATTGTGCTCCGATTTAGAATTAAAACGTTATTGAAGAAAATTTAGCAGCCGAAACTTCAGATATTGACCCTTGAATTTGAGGAGGTGTATACCATTCAATGTGCAGATTTTGAGGGGGTTGTACAAAAAATCCGAAAGTCGTTACTGCAGCCAATCGTATGAAAAAGAATTCACTGTCATATATGTTTGGTTTTATCAGAATTACAGGTGAATCGGCACGAATTTGTAGGAATCGAATATGTCATTTTTGAAAAAATCCACGCAAGGTCACTTAGCAGAACTGCACGTGAAACGTTTAAATTTTCAAACTTTAAATAAAAGTAAAAAATCGGTTTATCAAATCAATTCTAAGAATGTGGAATGAATCGATGTTTTAAAACATCGATGTAGACGTACTGGTCCATGATACCATCGATTATATGTTCATTACCATATCCTCTCTAGCCCATGCAGCCCCAAACAAGAACCGCACCGCCACCATGTTTACCAGTCGATAGTGTATTCTTTAATTTCAGGCGTTCTTCCACCGGACCCTGAGACATTAAATTTGCTTTTGTCGGTGAAAATAACAAAAAAAGTTTTCTCCTGCAATGCATCAGTCTTACTTAAATGCTCTTTAGTAAACTGGACTATTTAATGTTCTTGTTTATATAGTTCTTCTTTCTGGGATTGCGACCGTGCATGTCTGGTTTTTAATTAGTATTACGTACGATTCGAGGTGTAACTGAAATGTTATAATCCTGGTACAGAATACCTGCTATTTCGGGGGTCAATTGTTGGGTTGGCGATCTCTTGTTCGAGAACAGCACACTTTAGGATGGTGTTTAGTTTTTCTGGTCGCCTAAACGCGGTCTTTTTACAACATTATCTTTATAATTTAATTTTACGAGGGTTCGTAACGTCAGAGGTCATATAAGCCCTCAAGGTGGCGGTGTTTTTGAAAAAAAAAATTGTAAGTATGTCGGCCCTGCATTCGAACCCGGGACCTTTACCTTACATTGATGAGCGCCGTGTGCATTATCTTTATACCGGGAGTTTATGTAATTGCCGAGCGTTGCATATTTCTTCTTTCACGAAATGATTTCCCTTTATTGTACAATCTAACAAATTACTTGCGTAGTGGACCGCTGTATTTCCTTATTGAAGGCTAATTTCATACCAACGATTGGTAGAAAAATAACATTGCACAAAGTAAACAAAGAATCAGGCTGTAGACAGTGATGTTTGAAAAATAAAAGTGTTTGTCTTGGTGTACGAAAACTATTTTTTTGATTAGCGTACTCAAATTTATTATAAAAATCAATATAATACAGTATTCATATTTTTAAAAAAAACTCTTTAAATTAAATAATTTATTTGTTAATGTTCAAAAGTCTTTGAATAGTGTATTAAGATTTACAAAAATAATGATTTTATGTCCAATGAATTTATAATAAAACATTTGGAGCACATATTTTAGGCAAACCAGTGTGTTCAGATAATTTTTTTAAAATCGATTTCGTTTATTTAACAATTATTTTTTAAATATTATTTTATCCAAGTGCGTACAATTACATGAAATATTAATAAAATATTTAATTTATTAGAGTTAACAAGCGGTGGAATAGTTGCCAGTCTGATCCACAGGGTCGCAACAAGGTTGTATTTGGTGGCGCTCTGTTGGCCAGTCCGTGGACTATTTGGATTTTCACCATCTTTAAAAATATGTTATTTCTATTTCTTCTCTATTATTTCTAAACATAATGTCAGAGATTGATAGATCAAAGAATACAATTTAGAATTTTTCAGAGGCTTCATTTTTTAAAAATAAATGTGTGGTGATTAGTGACCGTTAATCGATATTTATTTAGAAATCGTGAGATGCGGTCTGGTGAGATGTAGGTTTCAGAAAAACATTTTCTTTATCGTGCACTTCGACACGACACGCTAGAATGGCACAATTACACAGAAGACAAACACTTTGAGCCCTGAAGATGACCTCAATAAAGATCGAAACGTTGGCACGATAAAGAAAATGTTTTTCTGAAACCTACATCACACCAGACCGCATCTCACGATTTCTAAATAAATTTTTTAATAAATTCCATGGTGATTCAGAAGAACTTTCGAAGGAAACAGTGACTTTTTATTGAAATAGCAATTTCGTATCGATTTAAACATAATGCGATATGATTTTATATCTTAAATATTATCTACGTGAATAATTATCTAAAGATGAAATTAACTTTAACTAGTCACGTTTTTAGTTATATACTTAATTTATCCTTAATGCGGGTAAGAAGGTATGAACTTATTGAAGCTTATTTTTTGTAATTAGTTTTTTAGTTTACCGTATATTACAACTATCTTTAATTAGGTAAAAGTTACAATGATAAATTACGTATAACTAAAAACAAGAATTAAGAAAGCACCCCTTCGGCCGTACACTAATGACACTACAATGATATCTATTTAATTAAAACTAGTGTCACTATCACTGTCATGTCATTAGATAAGATATCCAGCGGACGTCAACTTTTTAGTTGGCGAAGAGAGTTTGAAGGAATTCATTGGAATGAAAGTTTCAGAATTTGAGGATTTATAGTGGTTGGGACGAATTTAAGAAACTTGCGATTCGGATTACATCTCAAACAAAAAGAATATTTAAGTCTGTCTAGTTTCGTCGTATACATAAAATGAAGCATCGAAGTTTTTTAAGGGATAGACAGTTTTAAATTCGGTCGGATATTGGAATGTTTGGCTGAACTTAACAATTCCAGCTTCCAGAAGTCCATATCTACTTAAATAAGTTGTTTAAAGCAGCTTTTTATTTAAGATAGGTAAGCCAAAACGTTTATCAAGTCGTGAAAGACCCTGTATGGTGACATCTTATTGACATTTTAGTGGGGATTAATACGTTATACGTTTGTCCATAGTACACATGTAGTCAGCAGTTGGGTGAGGGTTATTATGCTGAAGTATCTGTTTACAGTGTTAGATGTATCGACTACTTTTTAAATATTCAACCATATCAATATCAAAAACATAATGTTACAGCCCTTGGCAATATTGGAACTGAGTTGGTCTCCAAAGAAATGTCAAATCAACTATTAAAACTTAATTGTCTGAATTGTAGACATAATTAAGATTGCTTTACCTTGTTGATGGGCATAACAGATGAAATCGTTTTTTCACCAAGACCATACCGAGATCCAGATTTTTTCAGATTATTGGCATAAACTGGGCCTCGGAGCGTTTGGCGATTTTATTGCACAAATGTACAACTAAAAATCAACCTGGAGGAAATATGAACGATGATTATGGAGATGATAAGATAGGCGGAATGAATGAAAGTTCAACAAAAAAAATTAATTATCTTAAAATAAATAAAAAAATAATAGAAACCATTATTTTTCGAGATCATTTTCTTTGTGTTTAAATGTTTTACCTAATTTCATTTTCGGCATTTCTAATTGATTGGGTTTTTTAACCCAATTGTTTTTTAACCTGCTGAGATGTAAATGATTCCTTCTCGTATTTCAGTTGAAACAATCAAAATAATTCCGTATAATCTTCTATTTGACAGAACGGTTTACGTATTGACCCAGCCAAAACGTGTAGAAACTGATAATGTCTGTGCCACCCTGCTTATAACCCTGACGACGCCCCACCAGGATGTAAAAAAGATCAAAACGGGTCAAAAGATCCAACGAAAAGTTACCATGATATATTATTTTTAACAGATAAAATTCAAGTTCTATTTTTTTAACAAATAAGTTTTTAAATAAAAGATCTTTACTTAATATCTGGTGTAAATTATATCCTTAGCACGAAAATGTATGTTCAAGAAAAGTGTTTTCACCAAAGTAACAAATAAAATTCTTCTTCTTCTAAATTCGTTCGTTTCGGGCCATTAGGTTACTACCTAAACCATTTATCACAAATACTTTCAGATCAATAGATGAAGCAAAGCTTGGCTGTAATTTTTACATCGAAAACTGAAATATCTTTGGAAAACCTTTCTGGTATAAATACAAAAAATTTTTTAAAGAAAGAAAATAATTAATGTTTTAAAATACATTAACAACAATAAACAATTGTTTTTGTTGTAGAAGGAAAGAAGGGAAGAAGAAGACTATAAGAATTTGGGGCCATCTTCAAGGGATACATACATACATACATGTCACTTTTTTAGTTGTACGTACGATAAAAAAGAAAAAAAAGGAAAACATTAAATATCACATAAGGATTGGCATAGAAACTAATGCGATCAAGAGCTCGGCCGATAGGTGGCCCTCTCAGGATCCGCCTCGAAGAAGAAACTCACCGACTATGAATAAGCCATACTAGGTTGACACAATGTCAGTTACTTTTGGTCCAAAGCCCGTACATATGCCTGATATGAAGAGAAAGGTTGTTTGATTTTAAAAAAAGTATCAACGTAAAACTTTTTACTGCTTAATCATTTTTCTTTTGCATTCCAAAATATTTTTATATTGTTAATTTTTCGTGAATATTTAGCTAAAAATAACAAGAAAATTTGACGTTTCTGATCATTTCGGTCTGCATATCATCGCTGCTTTTAACCCTTAGACGCTAAACAGAAATCTCACAAGAAAATTTATAATTTAATATTAGAAAATAAAATATACAGATGTAAATGAGAAAAAATTCTATTTATGTTTTCATTCTTTTCAGAAATTGTGTGACACATATGAATGTATTAACATTCACTGTATCACTGTCGTACATACACATGTACATTTTAAAAATATTGGTTGTAAAAAAAAATTCACAACTTAGATTTATTTAAAAATTATCACATGTATTGTTTGAAAAAACATATTTAATTTATTTTTAACAAGCACGAAATCATGATAGTGTAAAATTATTTTTTTTATCCGCATATTTGGAACTTCGCCATATGTTTTACACTTTTAAAATTTCCGACTTCATGTTCTGGTGAATGAAATGCACAAATATTATGTAAGACGTAGGTGAATAAAGTTTATCCACCGTTTCCCATGCCCTATCCTGCAAACATTAATCGAAATCACGTGTCATGAAAGCTTTCGCCCGTGGACAAGGGGACGGGAATTTCAGAAGACCATTTGTAAGTAGAATCAATTTACCGATGCGGCTATACACGGAAAACGGTAGACCCATCACGGATCGTGATGGAGTTTTGCTTTTGAACATAGCGGGAAAGCCTTTAGGGAAGGTTGACGTGCATGGTTTTATTTTCCTCGACCAGCGCGGACGACCTTTGACGGACGCGGCGAACCGGAAGCCCAACGACATCGATTTCGATCCGAGCACGAAGCCGCAGTACTCATCGAGCGAATTGGACCTGCGATGCTGCTCCGAAGTGCTTTTCGACGTCACCGGCTACCCCTTGACGGATCTGCAAGGAAGACCTTTGGTGAACCGGGACGGCACCTGCCAATTGGTCTTCGGCCCACGAGGAGAGCCTACATCCGATGTTTTTGGAGGTCCCTTGTTGGATAAAATGGGCAGAGATATTATGAAGGATGAAAGGCCGTTGACGGATACCCACGGCCGGCCGTTGCACGTTTACGACCAGTTGCGCCGACCTTTGACAGACTTGTCCGGATACCCACTTGTTGAAATTTCTGGCGTAAAGCTGCTAGTTTTGGATACGAATGGAATACCGTGTAAGATCATCACCGGCGGAGAGATTTGCGACGCAAGAGGGCTGATGAAGTACCACTCGGACTTTGACTTGTCTAGAGAAGGGCCGCCGAAGTGTAAAGAGCAAATCAAAACGTACTCCGGTAAGATCGCTGTCGCGTTCGATAAAAACGGGCATCCACTGACAGACATGAACGGATTCCCTCTGCGATTCGCCACTGGAGAGCCGATGATAAGCTACAAACACGGCTGGTTAGATTGGAGAGGAGAAAGAGCTACTTTGATCAGGCGTGACGTTTTCATCCGTTACACGCTTAAAGGATTCAAAAATAAAAGCGGTGTCCCCATCAGGCTGTTCGATCGTAAAGGGAGACCACTGACGGATTTCCACGGGGCTCCTCAAAACCACGCTTCCGGTCTCGTACTTCTCAAATTTGACGAGGAAGGCGATCCTATATCCGACTGGATGGGTAGGCCGGTATTCGACGGACAGGGTTACACGGAGGACAACGAATTTTTTAGACCCTGCAGAACGATTAAGTCACAAGAAACTCTCCAAAAGTTATTTTCACTGGCGAAAAAACCCGTACAGTATTTCGATAAGTTTGGCCTCCCGCTGACTAATCGATTCGGGATTCCGTTAGTGAGTTCGAGGGATGAAGTAATGGTTCGAATCGATTCGAGTGGAAAGGCCCTTCACGACGCAGAAGGCGGCCCGGTGTTCGATATTCTAGGGTTGCCGATAGTCCTCAATGTCGACGATCCTCTTCTCGGGCCGCAGAATCTTCCCATCCGGCTTTATAATTCGTCTGGGCGTCCGCTTACCGACAACTCGGGTAAGATTCTGAAAAATATAAAAGGTGTTCATTTAGTCGCGATCGGCGATAACGGCCAGGTGGAATCCGAACAAAGAGGTGGTATGCTTTACGACAGAAAAATGAGACCGATGACTTTCGGAACGGAGTTCAACGCGGCGCAAACGTCTTTCGTCGAAGAAAAAATAGATTTAGTCGCAAAAATTGATGGAGAACCTCTTCATTTGTTCAATAGGGCTGGATATCCTTTGACCGACTCGAACGGAATGGTTCTTTTTGATTGTCGAGGACGTGCACTAATAAAATGCCCCGATCAAGGTTTTATAACGACAGCAGATGACGAATCAGTGTACGATGTGAATGGTAGCAAGTGTTTAAGAACGATAAACGAAATTACCAAAAAGAGTAGGGCTGTATACGATAAAAATAGTCGCCCGCTCATTGACCAAAGAGGAAACATTTTGCAAAACCGAAGGGGAAAAGACCTACTCATTTATAAACAGGGACGACCCCACGAAGTTTTATACGGGGGCAGATGTTACGATTCGCGAAATTTTCCGTTGGACGATCCCCGCGCAGATATATCTATCGTGCCGACGTGGGAGACACACATAATCGGGAATGGAACACAGTTGTACGACTGTTGCGATCTACCGCTGACCGACACCTTCGGAGTCGTTTTGTACACTTCAGCCGGTATCCCGCTCATCCAAGTCGACTCACAGGGGAAAGCTAAAAGCGACCACGCCGGGCGACCAGTGTTTGACAAACGGGGTATTCCTATAACCAGAACGTCCGGCTATTGGAAAGATCAAAAAGGCAAGTCTTTGCGCCTTTACGACCAAGACGGTTTGCCGCTGACAGACATAAACGGCAAAGAACTCAGGGACATCGGGTTCCGCAGTCTCATTCGGCAGGACGAACTAGGCCGCCCAGCGTTCGACGTAAACAACTCCTTGGTGAACGACGTAAAAGGGCGCTGTCTCACTTCCTCGGATTTTAATCCCACATACTCCCCGCCGATAAAGGTAATAACGCTGTCGGAGAAAGGAGGAGGAGGGCTTAAACTTTTCGACATGGACGGAAGGCCTCTTACAGACGAATCTGGTACAATACTAGTCACATCCAAAGGACGGCCTTTGTTAGAAACGAAAAAAGGATTAAACCAGCTGGTCGATATTTATGGAAGAAGAGTCTACGACTGTTTCTGGAGACCTCTGGGTTGTACGAAAGATAAACAGATGTTGACGATCTTCGACAGGCCTTTGCTCATTTACAATAAAAACGGTGAACCACTTACCGATGATTACGGCGTCACACTCATCGTCAACGGGAATTTACCTACGATTATATTCGATGAGTACGGTCGTCCCGATCTGGCTTCGAACGGTTCTGCTCTATTCGACGCGAGTGGGAACGAGCTGAAATCGTACAAAGCCTTCTTCGAGCCAAGGATTCACATGAGCGACGCCTCTTTGGAGTCTATCGCTGGGCATTCGAGACAACTGTTCGACGATCAAGGCAAACCCCTGACGGACGAATGTGGCACGTTGATCTCTTACCAGGGCTACCCGGTCTCTTCGAAATTCTGCTACATCAACGCGACCGCGGATAAAAACCAAAGCGGCAAGTCTCCAAACAAATCGAAATGCAGGCAGTAACGTAGGCGACGCGCAGGTTTTCCCGTGGGATTCGATAAGTCAACGGGTAGAAATTCGCGTAAAGAAACACATGCAGGGGAAACTTCGACCATGCCCTACTGTCACTGCAGCTATTCTCCTGTCAATATTCGCCATCATTAATAACGCTACACTTTGGCTCTAGCGTCTGTGACATCCAGGAAAAGCCTTCCGTCCTTTCAAGCTTGCTCCCTTTTCCCTTTCTATTCATTACATCTGTTCTTTGCTCCCTTTTCAAAGATTTCGAAGTTTAGTCTGTGCTCTCCTAAAGAATTATTTGTGGTTCGTCACTTGAAGTCATGAAAAACTTGAAAAAAAGAAACATCATACTGTATTAATTCAAATAAAATAGTCGGTGAAAAAGATGTTTTATTTTTAAAATTGTTAAAAATACAACCAATTATAATATGTTAAATGCTTTCATATGGCAAGGCGTTTTACAAAAATTCAATCATAACACTATTTAAAATAAAATAGAAAAAAATAAATTATCGTTTACACATACAGAAACAAATGTATGCATTTGTCATAGTCGTCAAACAGTAAAAAATTTAAATTTCTCACAGCATATAACACAAAATGACTTCATGACAATAAATTAACATTTTTAATCAATTAATGTATCCCTTTGACGTATTCGCTTGGTGTACAAGGTTATTTTTCTTCTCTCGTATCCCCACAGAGGGGATGGCTAAATAAAGCGATTTGTCTCCTTGATAATAACGACAAATTCCATCATTGTTAGTACGTAGTATTAATACTTTTAACAGGGGGGAGAAAGATAAATTTCCCCTTGAAAGAAATTCCACAGTTACAGATACATTATAAAGTATTATCTTTTCCCCTATAAAACATCAAATGAGATAAATAATTAGCACAAAGTAAAAATATTGTTCTGCTTCAGGATTTTATGTTCTACATCATTCAATCAATGAGGACTCTTAAAAGGAGAGGCTGTAGAACTCTTTTCCTATTCGGATTCGTTTTAACACCATTAAATACGAGTTTTTATCGTATAAAAATTCCATTTTTGGGCTCGAACGCCTGGAGTAATTTTTCGCCCAATGTTCGGAGTTTCACTTAAAAATTCAAAACTCCTCTCAATTGAATGAAGTGAATCAATATTCCGTTGGGAAAAACAATATTTTAAGCCATCATAAATGAGATGAAGATAAATGAACCAAAATTCCTAAAACATTTATTTTTTACCTTCAGTTTTAATGGATGTCCAGACGTAAGGTTTTCAGCATTAGGCATAGTATATGAGGCACTCCTGCAAAGTTTTATTTAGAGTGATGTTCTGTTTTAATTGTTTTTAAATTCCGGGCCGCTGGATTCGAACTCGGGACCATTATAGTGATGAGCGCCATGTCAACGCTTTAACAGTTGCGGGCACGCCCCTGTTGCAGTTATCATTTTTGTGATTTACAAAAATATAATGTAGGCGGCCGTCATTCGGTCGCAAATTTCAATATCTGCGATACTCAGGCATGTCTACCAAATACAATTTTGACTTGGTTACCATGCGGCTTAGCAAAGTAGGGTAAAGGGCGTCGGTGGCCCCAACGGTTTACGCGTTGATACGGCGCTCAGCACTGTAAGATAAAAGTTCCGGGTTCGAATCCAGCGGCCCTGCGTTCGAACCCAACATATTTCCAAATGGGCTTTTGTTCAAAAACAATTTTTTTCAGTTTTACCAACTGACCAACCATGCGGCTTAGTAAAGTAGGTTAAACAGCTTGAATAGCTTGAGAAAAATCAAAGTTTAATATTCGTTTTTTGCACCCACAAAATTCTAGAATCGGGAAAATCCAAAATTATTTTTCCTTAACATTTTTGCCTAGAATTTATTTGCTTTCGATATTAGTCGAAAATCATGATAATGGCCATAACTTTGGAACTACATAAAAAATTTACTATTGTTATTGTGATAAAACTTTACAATATAAAGTTTTTGAAAAGGGCATTACACAAATCCAAATTTTTTTCCCTAGACAAAAAATTGGTTAATTTACGGAAAGCGTGTTTTGGTTTTTGCAATTTTTCCTATTTCCAATTTCATGTAAGGCAAATCTACATAAGAAAAAACCGAATCAAATAAAATAATCTTGAAATAAATAGACAACAAAGCAGAACCCCTATTTGAAAAACTGAAAAATATCCATTGGCACACATACTGCATGTCCAATATTTTCCGACCAGGTACCACAAAAAGAAGTAAAATTTAAGCCTCCCTTTGTTAGTTGTTTACTGTAAGAACGAGAAAGATTGCTGTGTAAGTTATTTTAAAAATGGAATTGAAATGATTTTTTTTATCTATAAAAAATATTACTTGTTGAAAATAATAAAGAAAAAGGAAAAATCGTGCCTTTTGTGGCGTATTTCTTGTTGTTTATCTCTTTGAGGTCGCCAATGCATTCGGGAATCGCGGAAGGGGCTGATAAGTTGATAAGGGTGAATTGTGCTTTCGTTGGACCCAGGGGGATAGAACGGGACCGGGGCATTGTTCGGCCCGGGACAGGGTGGCGGCTTTTCCCAGGAAGGGGGTGGAAGGAGGGTTGAACGAGAGCGAAGGAGTGGAACGGAACGACGGAGAAAGAGAGATTGAGAGGGTGCTGAAGCGGGAGCGAGAGAGCGATTCCAGAGGGAGGACGGACGGGAACGGCAGGGGGGTTTCTGTGACACATTTCATAGAGATGTAAGGAAGATTAATGGTCCCCATCCCTCGTCGGGCCACCACCCTCCACGGGACCTCCCTTCCATCCCTCCATCCCTCACCCAGTACATCCTTCCACTATGATAATGAACCAGGTGCCGCCTCGGAGGAATCGCGGTACTTCAGTCCTACTTCTGAAAACATTTAATTAACATCCCCGTAACTCTTGTTCTTCTGGCGAAAACTATCGCAGATTTCTTTGAACTATGAAAATGTTGCAGAAACTAAATTAAATTGTAACTCGTCCGAATTTAAAATTAATTTATAAAATTTCGAAAAATCCTCCAGAAATTTTCTTTGAAATATTCAGTTGAGATTTATGAAGTGATGAATGGTCTGTCTATCATCGATTGTCTGGTCTACAGATGCGTGTCGACATTTCGACATGTTCACAGACGAATCTTTGTTTTCTTTTTCTGACAAAATTGTGAAATACGTCGTCAAAACATGTAGAATAGACGGATAAGTAAGTTAGTACTTTAAGATATAAGTAAATGCTGAATAAGTGGTGTGGTCTGTCAATCGTTGAACTCATAGCTGAACCGGTATTCGGTCAGTTATTGGGTCTTTACTCACTGGTTTGTTAAGCTATTCAAACGCGTTTTGCCAATGCGTCATCTTCAGAGAGGAACCGTCTGCAATTTGTCTGAATACTTGCATGCGTATGAGATATAAGACATCGGACAAAGAACGGACAGTCCCATACTGAAGATCGCGCAATGCCGGAACGCGTTAGAGTAGTTTAACAAATCCTCGAATGACGACGGACCCAATGTCGGTACTGCATGAGTACCAAAAGGAAGCTACAATAATTTGTATAACTTCTTGAAGTTTCTCCGATTGAATCTCACTCCAAGGAAAATTACAAAAGTACAAAGCATCCACACTTTGAAGAGAGCGCTTTGGACTTGGAATGACTGATTTTAATTTAAAAAAACAAACTTTTTTTGATGATACTAGGCCTAAAAATATTCGACAAGTCCCAGCGCATTTAAAAAAGGAACGTATATTAACTAATTTAAAAAAAATATTTTTTTGCGGTCTTTCTTCTGCAAATATTTCTAGGATTTAAAAAGAAAATGTATATTACGTAATTCTACAAAAAAACACTATCATTGAGAAAAAGAACAAAAAACATAAAGTTCAAATTCAAATAAAAATGTAAAGAAAATTTTTTGTCACCTTTAATACTGACTATTTCCACCAGTGGCACGAATCATGTCCATTAATCGCTTTTGCCTTCCTTTCAAAATATTTCTGATAAAATCTTTTATCTTCTGAGGAATTCTTTCCCATTCATGAAGGTCTGCCGTTTCAAACTCTTAGAGTGTTAGGACCAGGGTTTCGCCCTCGTACTCGTTGCTTTAGTTGGTCCCAAACCTCTGCGAAGATTCCTCGCATAACAACCAATTCGGTGTGCGTGTCTTAGGAAATACCACGCCATAACATCATTGACCCACCTTGGAATGAGGTTCCTGAGAAACAATACAGCATCGGGCTTACCTTTCTCCTGTGCGTCTCCATATGATTACGACCATCTGAAGATTTGAGGCCAACTCTCACTTCATCTCTAAAGAGAACTCGTCCCCAATTTTCAATATCCAATTTTGTACCTGTGCGAATTGAATCCGGGCCATTTTTTGAGCTGTGGTAAGATGAGGTCCACGAGCCGGGCGCCGGCCGGGCCATGGGGTTATTTTCATTGTGCCTTCTTTTTACAGTACTGGAAGAAAATCGAAACATTCAGAATCGTCTAATTTCTTACCTCATTTCCCTTAATGCTGCTTCGTAGAGCCTGATGACGGATGAATCTATCGTCTCTCTCGTCCTGGCTTTGTAGAAGGAAGCCCTAGTTGTCTGAAGTGCCGAAAAACGCTTTCTATTGTAGAGTGATTTACACTCAGTCTCCTGGCAACTTAGCGCTGACTGTAATAATGTGACCGACCTGACCTTCCTCTAATAATGTTATGACGCTGATACTGGCCATACTCACTGAAACGCCTGACTGGAGCCATTGAAAAAAGTTTGAGAATAAGAATAATCGATTAGGTTTCGTGGTCCGATTGACCAAATAAATTCTTTTCAATTAATTAATCTTTAAGTAAGGTATTGGTTGAGATAAAAAAGTAGTGTCACGAGCGGGATTCGAACCCACGACCTTCGACTAAATACGCCGCTGCTCTACCACTTGAGCTATGGTGGCGTATTCAGCCGAAGGTCGTGGGTTCTAATCCAGCTCGTGACACTGACTTTTTTATCTCAACCAATACCTTACTTAAAAATTAATTGGTTGAATAAGAATGATATAAAATGAAATCAACGAAGGAAAATGAATAACTTAAACTGATCGTTAGGTATAGCAGAATTGAAGGGCGTAATGCGACTTTCTGAGCAAATAGGGTTAATCAATATAAAAGTAAGCAAAGCACTTGTTCCTGTTTATTTTGATTACGATAGCTCCTAATTACCTCTAACTAATGTAGAAAGATAATGGATTTAATTTTAAACTAAATAAATCTAGTAGTGCGTTCGCCTATCAGTTTACATCAGCAGTTTGTATTTTTACCTAGGATAAGAAAAGGACAATCAAGAAAGAAGGTAAACGAACAGTAAAATCAGACTGAAGAGAAGAGGCGG